CAAAGGTTCACGTTTGGCCCACTTGTATGGACTGCCAAAGACACATAAAGAGCAACTCGCCGTGCGCCCTATATTGTCTGCAACGTCCACGTATAATTACGCCCTAGCTAAATGGCTAGAAGAGAAGTTAAAACCTCTATCTTACAACAAATATAGCATCTTGGATGTATTTAAGTTTGCAGAGGAAATTCGTACTGAAGTAATCAACGAAGCTGATATCCTAGTCTCTTACGACGTTACTTCTCTCTTCACCAACGTCCCCCTAGACGAAACGATAGGAATACTGGTTGAAAAGGCCTTTAATAACAATTGGTTTAATTCTGAATATAACCTTGACATCAGCCGACAAGATCTTACAGTCCTACTTAACATCGCTACAAAAGATCAACTTTTCCAGTTTGAAGGAACGCTCTTTGAGCAGTTCGACGGTGTTGCCATGGGATCTCCCCTGGGACCACTTATGGCCAATGTTTTTATGTGCTCCATTGAGGAACAATTAGAACACAATGGAAAAATGCCACCACTCTACCGGCGATACGTCGATGACACATTAACAGTGATGCCTGGTATCAACGCCGCTTCAGCATTTTTAAACGTTCTAAATGAAATTCACCCATCGATAAGTTTCACAATGGAGATCGAGAAAGACGGCATGCTGCCCTTTATTGGTATACAACTCATCAATAACTCTAGATCAATTGATACGAAAGTGTTCATAAAACCAACAAACAAAGGACTACTCCTACATTATAACAGCCACGTGGATGTCCGGTACAAACATTGTTTATTACAAACTATGCTTGAACGAGCCTATCAACTGTCATCCTCTTGGGAGTTCTTTACTGAGGAATGCACTCGGCTGGAAAAGGTGTTTACTAAACTTCGCTATCCGACTAATGATATTAATCGTATTATCAATCGATTCGTATTGGATAAGACCGCGTCTACAAAACTGCCAACACTCGACTCAACGACGATGGTGATTGCGCGTGTTCCATTGCCCTTTAAAGACCAGAAATCTGCGGACTCTGTTAAGCGACAGCTAAAAGAACTTGGTTCTAAAATCCGAATAAATTTCCAACCTGTTTTTGTAAGCAAAAAACTTGAAGACGAAATCAAGATCACGGAAAAGAAACCCTCACTAGTAAATCAACAACGTGTTGTTTATCAATTTAAATGTAGTTTTTGTGATGAAAACTATGTGGGATTTACGATGAGGCATCTACATGAGCGTTGCGACGAACATAAACTTAATTCCTCGAGTATTAAGAAACACTTCATAAATAAACACGACTGTTTACCTGACAATTTCAACGATCAGTTTAAAGTATTAAGGAAATGTAAGACCAAATATGACTGTTTAGTTTATGAAATGTTATACATTAGAGATTTGTCACCTTCTCTAAACATTCAAGGCGACTCAATTAGAGCGAAGTTATTCACATGATTAGCTTTTTGACATCTAATATGCTAATAAGCTACCCTATATAAACACTTGTACTTTAGATTATATATTACACTTGATAATGGAGTCATGACGACCCCGAAACGTCGTGGTAATACAAATTTGAAACTCATTCGTTTCTTGTCTTTCTCATTTACTATATTATTGTATGCATTAACAAAAGTACAATGGCTGGGGTGCTTTCTACTAATCACAACTGGCCGGCCAGTCCACTCTATTTGAGGTATTCTTCGTTTGCACGTATGTCATGGAAAAATAAATTTTCCGTCAAAATAGTCATAAACAAAATTTAAGTAATCCATGTGAAAGAGCGAGTAAAACTCTGTATCCTAGAGAATTTTTTTTGCCGAAAGGAGTTTTATTTGCCAAGATATAATTTTATATGCTAGTTTTTTTAGAAGGAAATGTATAGCGAGGTCATGATTATATGCTTCCACGGCACCAACATTTTTAGAGAGTTTTAGAATCAAAGATAAAATTCCGGTACTTTCACATAATAGACGTATTAAAATTCTGTAATTATGTGAAATTTTGAGTCGATCCGAGCTTTTGTTGCAAGTTTATAAGCAATTTTATATGCCGATCTTTACAAAAAAATGTATGGCGGCACCGTACTGGTGGACCCCTGAAGTCCACCAGAAATGGCGGCTAACTGTTATGAACATAATTTCGGGTACAAAGTAGCAAATATACCTTATTTTCACTACATTTAGCAATTCTAAATCTATATTAAAACAAAAAAATACGATTTAGAAGTGATTTTATACACGTCTTTTCATGCACGTGACCTGGCGTTGCATGACATGACTTTGGCTACCAAATAAAACACATTGTGCATCAAATTATTCGCATATAAGTTCAAAAATTATGTCAAAACATAGTACTATATTCTCCCTGACAAAATGTCTCGGCTGAGTTCAGTTATGGGGGACGCGACTTTGCCGAGGCAGCGAGAAGGCATGAGCAATGTGGAAGGTTGGCGTCGCCGAAGGGGAGGAGGGAGGGTTAAAACTAGCTTTGACCTAGTGCCGTGCACTTTGTCGAAGAAGACGCTGTTTTAATGGATTTCCTAGCATTTATGCCTTCAAAAGTGTCCCCTGGGGTTTCTCTAGCCTGAGTATCAGGCTCTCTCGAAGGGGTTTGGGGCGGAGCGGGAAAGGAGAGAGAGCCTGACACAATCTTCTATCAAGAGCCCTTACGCCTCCTTGCAATGNCTATATATTACTATGGAAAAGAAAAGTGTGAACAACAAAAACGAGTCGAAAAAATAAAAATTGAGGGAAAAAACCAAAATCAGCCAGGCCGGACCAGGAATCCGTCTGGAGACAGATTATAGGGTGTGATTAGAAGACCCTTCTGGTTCGACCCGACCGGGTGGGGAGAATGGCAGGTATTCTAAACAATTTAACCAAAAGAATGTAACATGGAACAGGAAAGGCCAGCACTTTAAATAAATGAAAATAAAAATAGAAACGAACATTTCCATCGAATGGCCGGTAAACAATTTAAACCCAAGAATTTAAATTGGAGTTCAAATACGTGTGAAGACCGATAGTGGTTAACTTGTAGCTTGTCTCGATTTGAATAAGACCTGTACCACCTGATGTCTTGGAAGGTAAAGCCTATCGACATCGGCTTTAGGATGGTGCATTTTTGCAGTTGTCAGCAGCTTTTTCTATCTAGTCTTCTTAAATCTTCTAATTTCCAATTAATGATATTGAAGCTGTACGAGACAACTGGGACTGCAAGCGTGTTGATTGCATTTATTCTGTTAGTGGCATTTAGTTCTGATTTTAGCAACAAATGTCATTGTTCCAATAAAGTTCAAATCCACAGACAGCTCATCTCGGGAAGAACAACTTGTTTTGTCTTATGGTTGACAAAGCGTGCATCGATTCTATTTGCGCTGACAAATGAGTGTTCTGCATATACTGGAACATCCCAAAATGCTTGTGCGTCTAGGGACTCATACATTGGCTTTGGCTCTGTTTTTGAAAACCAGGGAGGTACTGTCTCCACTAAATTGAGTGACTTGCACATCTCAAAAAAGAGAACCTTGAACGCTGCGTTGTGTCTTTCTAGGTACTTAGACTGAGCTAGAGCACTACATCCAGAAAGCACATGCGCCAGATTTTCTTGGCTTTTTCCACAGTCTACATGTCGTGTTACTCTGATCCGATGTGCCGGTCTTATAAGCTGTGTACGTTCGAGAGGGAAGAAGCTGTTCGTACAACTCCATTAGGCCTGAGATGGTGTGAGTCGTTGCGCACTGCCACTCGTTGATCCAAGCAAAGCATCCTTCCTTATCTAGTGTTTCATCTTCGCATCTTTTCATGAGTAATCGTCCCTCCCATTTTTGGTCTGCAATCTTTTCCTGGAGTTTACCCTCAACTGCCTTTTTCAAAAGCAATTTTACACGATTGCCTGTACATGGTTCGGTGTTAGAGTCTTCTGTAGAGCAGGATGGTTCCGGAAATTCCAGCTTTAAGCTTATTCCTAATTCTTGCGCGTATTTGGTAGCATCTTTGACTAGAGATGAATATCCCTTCTCAGCCGATCTTTATTCGAATACTCGTACAACTTTCATCATAGGGTCTTCATTTTTATAAAGCTTTAAGGCAGCCTTGATCTTCATAAGCTTATACTCTTGTTCGACTGATCTCAAAATCAAGTCAAATCAAATTTTCATCCAAAGGTTGACAGACTCATAAATGTTCACTCCAAACGCGCGTTCAAATCCCCGCTCTTTGCCCCGCTTCGAAAACAATTCATCAAAATCCCGACCCCGGGGCAATTTTGCTTTTTAAAGCACGTTAAAAACGCGTCACGTCCCCGTTCAGTGCCCCGCAAGTCCCGAGGGTCGGGGGTCGGGGGGTTCAAGTGACTAGTGCATAAGAAACACTCGTCATAGACGAGACACATTTCTTTGCATATTTCAATTTTCTTATGAAGAAATAAACTGATTTCAAATATAAACCAATCTGCTGTTGTTATTGTTTTCTGGTAAAGTATGTACGATTCAAAATGGGATCGAAGAGCAATCGCCCCGGGATCTCTCGCAATGAATCTAGATTAATTATTCATGTGTCTTATTTCAAAACTGTTGGTCTACAATTGTAGTTGGTTGACCTTGCAAATACTTGCGAATACAACATTTAAACACAACTTCAATTCATAACCTTTGTGTAATGGATTGGGTTAAAATTTGCTTGAAGCTGATGTCAGTATCGCTTGGGATTCCTGTCCCGGAAGTCAACTGGTGCTCCACTAAAAGAGCTTACTTCTATAAATTTGCAAAAACACTTTTTTCTTTCGTGTTTTATCCGACCTCCTACTAGAAGTTTAAGTGTTTTAAAACTAATCTACAATTTCCCGCTATTTATGATTAACAACGAGACGAGCGCGCCTTAACACCATATATGGATTCACCACAGGAAGACCAAGTAAAGAAAACATGGAGTTCGCGCTGGCATTTTTTGTAGATGTCAACTGCGTTTTACTACTGTCTATCTCCTCACCTTTCACCTTTCAAGGAAGTAGAAGGAGTCCAAA